AAAAAAAAAGAGTTGGCTTGGGACGCCAGCTCTGAGCAGCAGGGCCCTGGTTCGGATCCCACACAAGGGCCAGTGATGCTGCGCCCTCTACAGCTTAAGATGGTGAACAACAGCTCGACCTAGAGTTGAGCTGCTGAGAGTCGCGGGCAACGGCGTAGGCTGCAGTGGAGCTGCAATGGGCTGCTGTAAGCTACCGTGAGTGGCCGGCAGCTGATGTGAGCTGCCAAGAGCCACTGTGAGTGGCCATCCAATACCCAGCAACCGATCTGCCTCACCCGGGAAGAACACAATGATCACAATACCAACATGGGCCAGTGAAGTGATGTCCTCCACAACTAGACTGAAGAACAAAAGGACAGCAACTTGTCTGATCCCCTTCCCGGGTTCCCCAACGCTGTTACCCTCCCCAATTCCCCAATAAAAAAATAAATAAATAAATGGCAAAAAAAAAGATTTGTTATGCTGATGAAAAAGACTGTTATATTGATATGATGATGTGCAAGAGTAGAATACATATAAGTGCACACACATCTGAAAGAACTTATTAAATTATGAATCTAATGAAGGAATACTATGCAGCCATCAAAAATGAAAATTAAAAGGAATTTTTGAAAGGAAAATGTTCATGACCCTATTAATTGAAAAACAGGAAATGAAAAAAAAAACTGAAGGCAACATAGTTGGACCATGTGTGGTAAAATTTATAGGTAATTTTTATCTTTATACTTTCTATATTCTCAAATTTTCTAAAAATGAATTTTAGTAACTTTCAATTTTTTCTGATAAACTACCTAAAAAAATTCAAATTTAGAGATGACCTAAAATTCTTATGCTGCATCTATGATTACATAGTCTGACAACACTTTTGAACAGGCCGTTATAATTTTTAGGGACGCTCATTTGCAATCTGAGTCCTTACTATACTTCGACACTGTCAGATACACATAGTACATATCTATTTAGAAAAACTATTTCATTCAAGCAATACTTATAGTATTTGTAGTATCTCTGGAAGAGGTGGATGCATTTGATATTCTTACACGTACAGGTATAAAGCTTGAGGACCTATCATAGAGGCCAGGAATGCAGATACCACTCCAGACCCTGAACCTACTTCAAGGCATATTTCCACTCTAAAAAAACAAAAGAAAATAATATTAGTACAGTAGGATTAAAATACACATCACAGAAAATAAGTCTCATTAAATATACTTTTAATCTATATTTCTCCGGCGTTATCACTCACTTGCAAATCTGTGGAAATATAAATGTATAAATAAGCTAATGTCTAACAATTACTTTGTGCTCATTTAATATTGCATGATTCAAAATTATTAAAATTTGGGGTAATTTAAGTCCATAAAATAGTAACATAATAGATGGCTTTCAATTAATTTCTACAAAACATTACATAAAAGCTACGGAATGATGTTAATTTAGGGTTGGAAATTTTAATATGAAAGACATCAGCCCTTTCCACAAACAGATCCTAGTTTAGTATTTCTTAAAACTATAGGGTTAGTATTATTACAATATTTATTTATGAGATAGTTATCATTTAAAAATATACAGCATTAATAAAGCCATTGCTGTATCTGAGGGAATGTTTCCCCATTCTGTGGATAATAAATTTAGAGCATCAAAGAAATTTCATATTTGTACAGCAGTACACTGAATTGGGAAAAATAAGTATCTGATCTCAGAATATTAATAACTTTAAGAATGCTATTGAATATATTCTTCATTCTACTGTATTTTGTCCTTCAATTATATTTATTTCCTTGCTCATAATCTTATATATACATCCAAAGCACCAATTATCCCCATTACAGAAATAGGTTTGGTGGGATTTAGGGGTCTCTGGCACCTAAGTTCCCAAACAAATATCCAACAACAAACTATTTGGGTTTCTAACTTTTGGGACCAGTTCACACATCTGACAAGCCTTTATTATGCTGTATGAAGCCTTTATTCTGCTGAATCTTACCAGGCGGCTTCTACTTGAAAATAACTATCATGGTCTCATAAATAATTAAAATTCCAAGACCAGAAATACCCAAAACTATATAACAAAATCAGCTCCTTTCACAGCATACTTTGCAATGCAATTTGTTCTTGTAAATCATTCTGGGATATCTTGAGACTAAAAGACAAGTTATAAAAGAGTGCTGTTCCATTCTATATTCCAGTAAATCCAAGGGTTCCATCGTTTACAATGAAAAACTAGTTTAATAAGAGTTGGGATATTTTATACATGGAAAAATCTGACCGAGTTTAAAAGGGATATATAAACACAAGATAGAGCTTTGATGACGCCTGGCAGCTTTTTGTTTCATCCTGAGAAACCCATTTCAAGTCTTGATCTTTAAGTACGTCTAATTACCCAAATTCCTTTCATTCAAAAAAATTCACAATGTCGGTATTCATTCTTTTTATGTTATTAAAGTTTATAGCAAGCATTTCCACAAATCAATTTTATTATTTATAAGGAGCTAGGGGAAATTCTCTAGGCTACTTGCTGCATGTAACTTTTTAAGTTTTTACAATTATATGAAAAAGTCGGTTCTGCAGTCGCACTAGCCACATTTCAAGTGCCCAGTACCCATGTGGCGAATGGTTGTTGCCACAGACTTGAGTAAACTGCTACTCAGCGGCTTTAAAAATACTTCCCCACTCCAGTATCTCGCAACCTCATTTCATCTTTGTGCCCTTCCATTGCCAAAGGGTGCTTTTATGTACTGAGTAAATTAAATAACGCCACAACGCTTTTAATATTTACTAGGATTTATATTAATAAGCAATCTTTCTGGGATACTTTTGTTTTTAAATGTGTTATAATATCGCTCCTCTTAGGAGCATGTGCATCCTGCCATAATAAGGAGGTATGAAGCTCCTGAGACCAAAACAATACTTCGGCAAAAGCAGATACATCCCTGGCACACTCATTACGAGTGTCTACAGGAAAATCCTCAGTGACGGCGTTCTGCTGTCAATCTTTGCTAGGTGGGCTGACACCGCCTCCTATCGGGGCAGAAAGCGACAGTCCTTCCCTTGGCCCAGCCGTCGCCTCCGCCTCTCCAGGACGCCCAAGCCCTCTACCGCGGGGACCCTCGTTCTCCTCGCACCCCTTGAGCTCGGCCACCGCCGCCTCGAGAGCGTCCAGAAGCAGGAATGTATCCTCCGCAGGCTCGTACACGTCGCTGAAGGCGCCATGGCCTACGTGCCCGTACAGAGGCGTGGGGATGCTGGGCGCCGCCATTTTTCTTCTCTCCACCCCACGCGCATGCGTCAACACCGCGCATGCGCAAGTGTGCGCACGCAGTCCTGGCGGCTCCCTGGGAAGTTACTTCTAGCTCCCTTACTTCTAATACAGTTTGTCAGTAGGCGCTCTTGGAATTTCTAAGTAAACGCCTATGCAAACTGTTACACGACTGACATTTGCTTTCTTCTTTAGAATATTTAAATTTAATTCAGTTTATGAGTCGATACCTGACAATACGTCAATTGTTTTTGACTCAGTGGAACGTTTATTGTACGTTTAGCAGTTTTCTTCTATTCCTATTTTCAAAGAATTGAAAAAATACATGATGGTCGCTAAATTTTACTTTTTCTTTTTTACATCACTAAACTTTATACTTTGAGGTTTACGATTAAGTTTTTTTTTCTCATTTTTTTTTACCTTAGTATATTACAAAAATAGCCTTACTTATGTTGAATCATGAATCTTTTTAGAAACCTCACTCGAGCAACATGATGAGTTTTTCTTTTAATACACTGCTGAATTTCAAATACTAATAATCTAGCTCCATTTTGTAGGAGGATTATGCTGTCCTCACAGGATGAGGTAAGACAGTGTTTCTAGAACGTTTGGTAGAATTCAGCCATAAAACTGGCTGGGCTGGGTGCCTTTGTTAGTGGGTGGTTCTCTGATGTTTTGGGTTATTGTCTATAGGTTATCAGCTACTCAGGTATTTGCATTCAGAAAGAAATTTCTGAAATTTCTTTACCAGTAAAACATGTTTACATCTAGTTTTTCTCTCTTTAATTTGAGAAATAAAAAGACAGAGAAATATTTGTATTACATTTTTTAAAGTCCTTAGTACCCACCATCTAGAATTGACAATTATTAGTATTCCATGTTCCCGTAAAACAGTTTTTAAATATAAGAACTATAATATTACAAATGAAATGGGTGTTCTTTCTGTACTCACCTTCAGTTCCATTTTGTAACACTCACTCCAAGGTACCTTCTCTCACAGATTTGGTGTGTATCCATCTAATCCATGTTTTTATACATTTACAATCATATATTCATAAACAACATGTAGTTTATGTATTTTCAAATTTGCATAACTGGTACCTGGTTGAGCACATTGTTCTTCAAACTTTTTCATGCAACAGTATATGAGATTGATGTTTTCATATATATATGAATTTATTTTACTTCTTTTAATTGCCATATTGTATTTCCTTTGAAATATAAAACAATTTTCTATCTGGAATTGATAAATATCGATTGATAAACATTTAGTTATTTCCAGATTTTCACTCTTATGCACAACACTGTAATTAACTCTGTTAAATGTGTTTTTGTCTGATCTTGTACAAAATTTTTCTGGTATTCAACCCAGAGTAGATCAGCAGGGTTGTAGTGCATACACATTTTCAATTTTGCTGTTTAATTGCTAATTGAGGTTAGGCATGTGTTCATATATTCATCATTTGAATTTCTTTCTTTGTGAATTGTCTGATCATTCTTGCTGATTTTTCTTTTTAAATTTTGTTTTTATTTTCATCAAAGTTGATATCATTTTGTAGTTTAATAGGCCAAACAGTAATAGATGATCTGTTTTGAAAAAACGGTTCTCACTATTTCTTATGTCTCATTCTCCAGAGGTGACCATTTTCAACTTTTAGCTGTTTCTCCAGCCATTTTTCCCGTATCTCTGTATACCAAGCTTATAATACTATTACTTGATTTCTCAACTTTAGCTTTGTCTGTTGAATTCCCATAATAAGAGATAAAGTTCTCAGGAGAGAAGGCAAGAATTTAACTCTGTTGCTTCCAATAAATAAGCATAACTGCCAGTCCCCATCTTCCCAATATGGTTTTCTACATTATTCTATCTATAGAAATGCTACTCAAAACTGATCTGCGCATTATGCCAGTTACATTTGCTTTCTTACACAACTTTTTGTTTTTCCTTGTAGTTAATAATTATCTAGTGTATTAGTTTCTCAGGCTTGCAATAACAAATTACTGCAAACTGGTTGGCTTAAAACAACAGAAATTTATTCTCTCACAGTTCTGATGGCTGGGAGTCTGAAATCAAGGTGTCAGAAAGGCTGTGCTCCTTATTAAGGCTCCATTGAAGAATCTGCCCGTGCCTCTTCTAGCATCTGGTGGTTACCCGCAATGCTTGGCCTTCCTTGGCCTTCTGCAACATAACGCCCATCTCTGCCCTAGTCCCCATATGGCCTTTTTCCCTTGATGTCTGTGCATCTCCAAATCTCTTGTCTTACAAGCACACCAGTCATTGGATCTCGGGCCCCTCCTAATTCAGTATGACCTCATTTTAACTTGATTACATCTGCAAAGACCCTAATTGCAAAGAAGACACATATATATATAGGGATGGGGATTTTAGGATTTCACCATATCTTTTTGAGGAATACAATTTAAACCACAAAACCTAGTAATAACTACTTTTTCATTTGTAGAGGTTTCTGATTATTGCAATTCGGAATCCCCTAAATCTCTTCTAATTGTTTACCCCTTGCCACCCACTACTCCAAAGATATTGAACATTCTGATTATTTCAATTTAATCTATTTAGGGACCAGTATATGTCTGTGGGGTTCATCCCTTGGTTTTGCCTTTTGAGCGCTATCCTCAGGCTAGCCCAGGGATCGGCAAACTTTTGAGACGGACGAGCTACCAGGGGTTGGCAAACTGCGGCTAGTGAGCCACAAGTGGCTCTTTGGGTACGCACCTGTGGCTCTGAAGTAAAATTGAAAATGAAAATAAAACTATCATAGTTCCACTTATAATATTACTTTAAATTTTCCTTATTTGTAAAAATGTATTTATGGCTCTCGAGTAATTTTTAAATTGTTGTGAGAGACAGGACTGGCTCTTCCAGGGGTCGGCAAACTTTTGAGACAGAATGTACCCAAAGAGCTGCATGTGGCTTGCGAGCCGCAGTTTGCCGACCCCTGGGCTAGCACTTCTTCTGGTACCAAGATGGCTGCATCATTATAGCTTCACATCACCAAATTCTGTGGAAGAGTTTTTTTCAGCTGCTTACACGAAAGTCCTATCATTCACTCCTCCTTATTGGCCTCAAATGGATATTGTGTTCATGCTTAAATTCATCCTATAGCCAGACAGATAAAATGATCTTGAGGTCTGGGATGGGGCCTCACCACAGCCAGACAGCCAGAATGGTACCTCCAGAGCAAAACTATGGTGCTGATATGAATGCTAGGAAAAAGTCACAAAATGTCTACTACATGGAAATTTCTCATATGTGGTTCATAATTATTTTCCTCCAGTTTGTATTGTCTTTGCTTTTGTTTACAATATTTTTTGCTATACAAATATTTAAAAACTATTAAATCTATTTTTTGTTTCTGATAATTTTAAAGATTTTTATTAAAAATATAGCTAGCATACAATATTATATTAGTTTCAGGGGGACACCATAGTTATTCAACACTTATATACCTAAAGAAGTGACCACCATGATGTCTAGAAACTATCTGACACCATACCACACTATCAAAATATTATTGACTATATTCCCCATGCTGTACATTACATCCCCATGACTTATTTGTTTTATATCTGGAAATTTGGACCTCTTAATCCCCTTCACCTTCCCCCCCTTTTAATTTTTTAATTACAGTTGATATTCAGTGTTATTTTATATTATTTTCAGATGTACAGCACAGTGGTTAGACATTTGTATAAGTTAAGAAGTGATCCCCCTGACTAGTCTAGTACTAACCTGGCACTATACACTGCTATTACCAGATTATTGACTATATTCCCTATGCTTTATTCTACATCCCCATGACTATTTTGTAACTACCAATTTGTACTTCTTAATCCCTTCACCTTTTTCACCCCGCCACCCAAACTCCTCCCATCGATCACCCCAACAAATCTAGTACCCATCTGACACCAATACATAGTTATTACAATATTAGTAACTATATTCATCATGCTATACCCTACATCCCCATGACTACTGTGTAACAGGCAATTTATACTTCTTAATCCCTTCCCCTTTTTCACTCGCTCCCAACACCCCTCCTGTTTGGCAACCATCAATATGTTCTTTGTATCTATGAGTTTATTTCTGTTTTGTTTGTTTTGTTCTTTAGATGTCACATATAAGTGAAATCACATTGTATGTTCTTTTTCTGTCTGACACTCAACTCAGCACAATACCCTCTAGGTCCATCCATGGTGCCACAGATGGCAAGAATTAATTCCCTTCCATGGCCTAGCAATATTCCACTGTATATATGTACCACCTCCTTTTTATCCATTCATTCATTGACAGACACCCAGGCTGCCTCCACATCTTGGCCATTGTAAACAATGTTGCAATGAACATATGGATGCACATGTCCTCTCGAAGTAGCCTTTGAGTTTCTTCAGATAAATACCCTGAAGTGGGATTACTAGGACCTTCTTTGTCTCTTGCTATAGCCTTTGTTTTAAGGTCTATTTTGTCTGGTATAAGTGTTGCTATCCCAGTTTTTTGTTTTGTTCGTTTGTTTGTTTTATTTCCATTTTCATGAAATATATTTTCCCATCCCTTTACTTTCAGTCTGTGTGTGTCTTTCAGTCTGAAGTGAGTCTCTTGTAGGCAGCATATGTAAGTGTCTTGTTTTCTTATCCATTCAGCTCTCCTATGTCTTTTGAGTGGAGCATTTAATCCATTTACATTGAAAGTAATTGTTGATAGATATATAGCTATTGCCATTTTATTATTCATAAGTTTTATCTTTTTTTTTTTTTCATCTTAAAGAAGTCCCCCTAAGATTTGTTGTAATACTGGTTTGGTGATGATGAACTCCTTTAGCCTTTTCTTTTCTGGAAAGTTATTTATCTGCCCTTTGATTCTAAATGACAGCCTTGCTGGATTGAGTAATCTTGCTTGTAGGTCCTTGCTTTTCACCACATTGAATATTTTGTGTCAATCCCTTCTGACCTGCAAAGTTTCTGTTGAGAAATCAGCTGAAAATCTTATGGGAGCTCCCTTATAAGTTACCAGTTGCCTTTCTCTTGCTGCTTTTAAGATTCTCTCTTTGTCTTTAGTCTTTGCCATTCTAATTATAATGTGTTTGGTGTGGGCC